TGAAGAAGTATCAGAAAATGAAAAGATATCCCTTGCTCTAGAGTAGGAAGAACCAATGTAGTGAAAATGGCCATAATTCTAAAACTGTTACATAGATTTAATGCAGTTCTTATTGCAACAGAATATCTCAAAGAACTATAGAAAACAATCCTAACAATGATTTGGAATCAGAAGACCTAGAATAGCAAAGGCAAATCTGGGCAACAAAAGCAAGGCAAGGGGTATCATAACTCCAGACTTGAAATCACACTAAAAAGCTATTATAATAAAAACAGTACTGGCAAAAAACACACTACAGGACCAATAGAACAGAATAAAGATGCAAAACAACTGCAGACATATGGGTAGACCCCACTCTCAGTACCAAAATCTGTATCAGTCAGGGTTTTACTAGTGGAATAGGTATAACACAAGATGTACAAATGTATAAGAAATTACAAGACTGGCTTACGACGGTCAGCTAGAGAGTCAGATGAGGAAGCATGCAGAGGATGTCTGCATGCTGGGGACTGAAGGAGCTCACTATAGTGTTCCATGCAATTTCATACCAAGAGGCCAATCCGTCTTCCACGGAAAGCTGATGGAGTCTACACTAAGGCTGAGAGAACCAAGACAGAAGCCAGGGGCCGGGGAGATGGCTCAGTAGGATAAGTGCTTGACTGCCAAGACAGAAGCCAGAGTCTGCACTAGAAGGTAGGAGATGATTTCCAAGCTGACAGTGAAGACCAGAGCTGCTCTGAAGAAAATGTGACCCTCCGTTCTTCCTCATTTCCCTTTTATATCTTTTAAGTGATGAGCCAGGCATTCTAGGGTGTGAAACTGCTGGAACTCAAACTGCCAGGAAACGGCTATGCTACTGAGCTCAGTGGTGTGGAATTTAATTTTGTTTTCAAAAGCTTTTGTAGAGCAAAAGGAATCATGAACAGAATGCAGAGACAACCCATAGAATGGGAAAAAATGGTTGCCAGCTGTTACTCAGAAAAAGGATTAATATCTAAACCATATAAAGAACTGAAAAAACCAGAAGACCTTCAAATTTAAAGACCTAATCCAAATATTAGCATCTGAGATGAGTACATACTTCTCAGATGAAGAAGCAAAAATGGCAAATATATGAAAAAATATTCAACATCACTGGTTATTTGAAAAAATGGAAATTGAAACAATACTAAGATCGCATCTCACCCCAGAAAGAATAGTTTTTATCAAGGAATCAATCACAAGTATTGGCAGATCTTTCCGGGGAAAGGAACATTCTCCACTATAGCAACCAATGTGTAAATCAGAGTGGAGATTTCTCAAAAAAGCACTAGAGGTCTCATTTGACTCAGCTATTTCTTTTTCTTGGCATCTTTCCACAAGAATTAAAATCATCATTCTATAGCGATATATGCACACCCATGTTCATGCCAACAGTTTGAAAGAGCTACATTTTGCAAAGAGTCCAAATATCCATCACTCAAAGAATGGACCAAAAAAAAAAAAGATTTGTTGTTTTAATATAATGGAGTACTCAGTCATAATAAGGAGGAAGGATAAGCTTGAGACATTTATAGCTAAATGAACATTGAGACTATACTTTAAAGTGAGATAAAATAGAATACTGAAATATCACATTATTTATCTGGTGTGAGAAACTGGAAGCCTAAGAAGCAAAATGTAAAACAGGAAGAAATTGTTCAAAAGGAAACCAGGGAGGTGGGCAGAAATGAGGGGAAAAAATG